TCTAATCCGCTATTGCGTCAGGGAAAAATAAAAAAAAAGTGGTTCAAAATTCGCCAAAACAGCGAATCCGACCAATACCCAATAGTACAATTTTATTTAATTCAAAGATAGAATAAGCAAAAACTTTGTACTTATTTTCAAATAGATCACTGAAAAATGGTAAAATTTTATATTTTTTGTAAATCATCAAATTTCAGCCAAAAAAAAACAAAAAAAAAAAAATTCTGTACATGTTTTTTCTCTGGGTAAGGTAACATTATATATAGTTTACATTTTTATATAATTCAAATTACATATAGAATTTTATATCTAAAAAATGGCAGCTACAAAAACTACCAAAAAAATCCTAAAGCTATACATAACATACATTTCTTATTACATTTATTTTTACATTAATGTTAGTATTTACAATAATTATACAGGGTTATTATTAATTCCACGTATTCTTAGGAGGTGATAGGATCTATACTAATATAAAAAGAAAAGATTTGTATTTTTGTATGTATTGAAATAACTCAAAAACTGCTGGGCCGATTTTAAAAATTCACCATTAGAAAGGTAATTTATCTGTGAGTAACATAGGCTATATTAGAAATGGAACATAGGCTAGAGCAACAGCAAGTTTGTGATATTTGATACCCATATGCCTAAATCTGAAGAAAAAATTAAGTTATCATTGATAGTTTTTTTTTAATTTCAGTCGTTGTATGAATTAAAAAATCTAAAATTCATAACTCAATAGTTAATATTTGTATAATGGATAAGGGAATCAAAATTATCACAAATGAAAACCTTGTAGTGTACTTATTTACTTATTTATCTGTACTATTAAAAAAAAGCGTAAACACACACTTTGTTGCCTAAGATGTCAGCAATTACAGCATATTTTTGAATAATTCTTTTTTTAATAAAACGCCCTACACTTACGTCACGCTTTAGGCTATATTTACGCTATTAAACTTCAGGGGTAAATATCTTGTATAAAAACCTTAATGTGGGAAAGAGACCATAAGTTGCCATCAAGAAGCAAGATTGCCAAGTTTTGTCATGTCATGTCATTTTGACATTTGCTATTGTCAATTTGACAGATGTAAACAATAAAATAATTTTATGCTGATGACATCGCACGGGAATAGCTAGTCTTTATTATTTATATCGTTTACGTGTACATTTTGACATGAATCCCTGTACATGAAACAATAAACTGTTTTATTATATGGTTCATTTCAGCGTGAAACGTCTTCGAATACCTCTTTCACCTCCTAACGGGAATACGTGGAATTAAAATAACCCTGTCATTAAAAAACTACATTAAAATACTAATCGGCACTTTCATTAATTTTACAATAAAATGTGTGATGGCACTAAAAAGAAATAAACTAAAAAAGAAACAATTTTTACATAAAGTCATACAAGGTTAAAAAAAAATCTACTGCAATGAAAATAAGATAACTCCATCATCAATTGATTTTCTATAGTTTCTTAAAATTATAGTTATGACACTTGTGGAATTTAGAAGCTACACATTTGACGGCTCCTATGTAAACTATAGTATGTATGAAATACAAATTTTGCAAAAAAAAATCTTTTTAAACATATTTAATTACGTCACATCATCAACATAAGTTGGACAACCAAAATCTACACTTATTTATAACTAGCTGTTGCTTGCGACTTCGCTTGCGTGAAATAAAAAAAATAACAAAAAGGTGCCTATGTTACTCACAGATAACATAGCATGTCAATGGTGAAAGAATGTTTTAAAATCAGCCCAGTAGTTTTTGAGTTATTTCAATAAATTAAAAAATACGAAAAACCAAATCTGTCCTCTTTATAATATTTGTATAGATTAACACAATATTTAATATTTATCAAGGTAATTTATATATCTTGGGCATATCTTGCGTGGACCGAAATACGAAGTTACAGACTATCATTCAGGGTAAGATTCTAGGGAAGAAGGCCAGGATGGAGAAGAACGTCGTGGCATAAAAAGCCAATGGTACAATAAAAGTATGCGTTTTATATTAAGAGCTGCTGTGTCCAAACTTCAAGTCGCTGCAATGATTGCCAACCTTTGTTAGGAGACGGCACCAAAAGAAGGTAACTTAAAAAATATCAAGGTATTATTTCAAAATTGTGACTTACGATAGTTTACATGGGAGCCGTAAATTAAAATTCTTGATGTAACACTGTTTATGGCGTTAGATATGGCATAACTTTAATATAAATGCTAGAAAAATTACTACTTAAAACCATCTTAAAAAGTTGTAAGTAATTTGTAAAGTTATTTCACAAAAATTTCACAATAAAGAAATGAACGTTCCACGCACCTAACGTCCCTATCCCAAAAATATGCTATGAGAACGAAAGGGTGGCATAGAGCCGCACAAAAAAAAAACATATGAAGTCATTTACAAAAAATTCTTGAAATATAAACATTAACAATACTATAAGCAAATCATAGAAATGAAGAGTCATACAATTTTCCATACAAGTTTCATACAAGTTTGATATCAAGAGTTGATTTCAAGTCATTTTATATCGTAATTAAAATATTGAAGGAATTTACCCTAAGAAAAGAAATACAGAGTAACAGTGGTAGAGCCCGCTTTGACATCTTACTGTAGGGCTTGCTCCAACAATACCACGACCACACAGGAAACGTGAAGTGGAAGCAATTCCGCGTTTCGTCTTATGAGTATACCGGAGGCCAATGTTAGTCACTTTCCCTATCCACCCTTTTCTTAAGAGGAAAGGATGGGAAGGAAAAGTGGATTTGACGGTGGAAGAGACGCATATGAAGGGGAAATGTCCTCTTTATGTGCGTCTCCTCCGTCGATTAAGGGTGGCAACGCATCTGCAATTGCGAATGTTTGTGCAGCGGTCGCTATCCATTTCGGTGGATTCAGGCTGCTTGATCGTTTGCCACCTTATATTATAAAAAAGAGGCCTTTTGAACGTTATTTCGTAGATTACATATCTATAGATGACATATCTATAGATCAAATATCTATAGAACATATTTATATTTTGCAAATTATTACAGAACTAGACAAGTTTTAATTCTTTTCGTATAATTTCATACATTTTAAGATATTGTAAACCTATTCTATTTAAAAACATGTTCAATAAAACGATGCATCTCTCATTTCTTAAAAAAAGAGACCAAAAATGTTCAGATTAAACGAATTATTGCTTATATTCGGGTTAAAAAGAATCTAGAACATAATACAAACTGGTTTTTACAACTGTACAATACAATTAACTACTTACATAATGGTCGGTTTACACTTGGCCAATAGCTTGTCAGTAGCACTCCACTGGACTGTCAATCAGGCACAGTGTGAACCATGGCGACAGTGAATCTACATCTGTGACTGTACAACTGTACTGGCCTAGTGTAAAACGGGCATAAAGGTGTCTCATTGACCCGATCAATTAACCCTGGTTGCTTAATCCAATAGGATTTTTTTACTGGATAATCTAATATTTTAATGGCTCCTACGTAAACTATAGTAAGTTTGAAATATATATTTTGCAATTCTTTGAACACCAATAATATTAATTACATCAAATAAAATCTACAGTTTCTAATTACTTAAAAATTTACAGGGAAATTAATTCATATCAAGTTTAATAAAAAAATATAAGACAAGATGTAAATTGCAAAATTGTGACTTATGATAGTTTACATAGAAGCCATATATGGCAAAATTCTAGGAATTAATTGGATATTTCTATATTATTAATATTATAAATGCGATAGTCTGTATGTTGTAAGATATCTCGTAAAACTGCTGTTCAGTATACATTTGGATACAAAAAAAAAACATCGCCAGCATCGTAAAAAATAGATCTGACCTTTTTGTATTATTTTTTTTGCTGAAATTATCTTAAAGTCTACACAAAATGTATTATTTAATTTGTCAATTATTATAAACACTTTAAAACTGCGTATAAAATACTTCGCAAATATTCGTTAAACTGTCCACAACTTTAAATTGCTCTGTTGAATTGCTGAATTTCAGATCTTTGTTTTGCGACCGACAACATAGGATTTTTTAAAATATCACAACACAGATAAAATATCAGAGAAAATCTAGAATATAAACAAAACAGAAGTGTGAAAATTAAATGGATTTACCTTACAGCTAATTGATCGGTCCGAGACGAATTTGAGACACCATCCATTATTTGTCACATATTACTGTCAAATCACTGTCAAATCACTGTCACATCACTGTCACTACACTGAAACTTCATTATCTTCATTCAAATGTATTGAATTATCGTTCACCGCAAGCTTGAGTAATGTCTTCTTTATTCTGAGTGCGGGAAGTCTCACCGAAGGGTTTTGATGCCAACATTCTCGCATCAAATTTGCTAACCCCACCATTGTCTGGAAAATGTAGAGTAAATATGTTAAAAACAATCTTACTAATCTTACTAATATTATAAATGTGAAAGTTTAGATGGATGGGTGGATGGATGTTTGTTAGCGTTTGTAGCCTAAACGGCTGAACGGATCTCCATGAATTTGGCACAGATATAGAACATAATCTGGAAGAACACAGACTACTTTTTATCCCGATAATAGTTACGGTTCCCGTGGGATTCATTAATTTGGTTATTTAATGTTTACTCGATCATTCTGAAATGGTTCAAAATATCTTATTGAAATTTAGCACAGATATAAAACAAAGTCTGGAGTACATATAGGATAAGCTTAATCCCCGAGAAATGTCCGGTTCCCGAGGGTTACGTAGTTTTTTGTTATTTTTATAGTTCGTATGTTCTCTAATATCACGCGGACGAAGTCGCGGGCAACAGCTAGTCATGAATAATATAAGATAGTTCTACAGTGGTAGAGTCCGCTTTAACACTTCGGACGAACGGGTCGTCTCGCCTCCAGCAATACCATGACCACACAGAAGACAGCCGTGAGGTGGAATCAATTCCGCTTACAGTCTGATGAGTGTGTTGCCGGGGGCCCAACATTAGTCCCTTTTTCTTCCCACCTGTAGGGAACCTGATACATTTTACGAAAACACTCCACAGTTACACTTGACATTCATACACAGCACACATACACACTTACATAACACGTAC